CTGAGAAAGCCAAGGGGAGAGAAGGCAGTCTAAGGCTTAGGGCTTAGGGCTTAGGGCTTAGGGCTTAGGGCTTAGGGCTTAGGGCTTAGGGCTTAGGGCTTAGGGCTTAGGGCTTAGGGCTTAGGGCTTAGGGCTTAGGGCTCAGGGCTTAGGGTTTAGGGTTTAGGGTTTAGGGTTTAGGGTTTAGGGTTTAGGGTTTAGGGTTTAGGGTTTTTCAGTACGTACCCTAACCCTCAACTTCAAACCCTGAAAGGAGCTAAGGAATCCGGTACAGAATACATCCCCTCCTCAAAGACCTCCTTCAGTCTTTTAACGTAGGTAACCTTGATTCCGCCCTTCCCTAGCCCTGGGGTTTTTGGGTTTCTAGGGTCACGGCTTTCGGAGTTGAGGGGCCTTTTAGGGTTCAGGGTTTAAGTTTAGGGCTTAGGGTTGAGGGCTTTTAGGAGTTTAGGGTTTTGAGTTCAGGGCTTTGGGCTTGGGGCTGAAGAGTGGGGCTTTAGGGTTCAGGGTTTAGGAATGTTTGGGTGGGCTTGAGGAGTTTAAAGGGCTTTTGGGCTTCAATGGTCGCGTGAACCGAAGATGCCGGACTTCCCGGCGGGTGTCGCAAGAAGGATAAAGCACGATGTGTGAGGCTACCTACTAAGCTGGGATCGCCCTTAAAACCCTTTGGAAAACATATTCCCGAATATGATCCTCTTACCCTAAACCCTAAACCCTAAACCCTAAACCCTAAACCCTAAACACAAGGGAACATACAAAATATCCCAGGGGCCCACGTAGTAACTAAGGCCATAGCAAGGCCCACAGCTCCTCTGAAGCCCGAGCTACGTTTTCACAAGCCAATGCGCTTGGACCCTAGACTCTACGAGTACGGTTTAAATGCGCCCGAAAGCTTCCCTAGGCAGCCTAAACCCTGAAGTTTAGGGTTTAGGGTTTAGGGTTTAGGGTTTAGGGTTTAGGGTTTAGGGTTTAGGGTTTAGGGTTTAGGGTTCAGGGTTTAGGGTCAAGGGCCGACAAGGCAAATGATCCCAGGAATGCGGCCCGAGGAAATCGGCAATCTCATCCTGGGCCGGGTTGAGGGTTGAGGGCTGAGGGCTGAGGGTTGAGGGCTGAGGGTTGAGGCTTGAGGCTTGAGGCTTGAGGGTTGAGGCTTAGGGTTTAGGCTCTAGGGTTGATTAGGGGTGAAGCTTGAGGGCTGAGTTTGCAGGGTTCAGGCCTAAAGTTGCGGGGGCTAAGGGTATAGGGCTTATATACGGGGATTGGTGGTTTCAGGTAGCTTCACATTCGGGTTGAACCCCCAACCCCCAACCCTAAACCCTGAACCCTGAACCCTCAATCCTTAACCCTTAACCCTAAACCCTAAACCCTGAACGCTAAGTTTAGGATTTCATGCTGCACCCGCTTTAGCTTTGGCTCCCCCAGTCGAAGCTGCACGGCCCTCGGGTTTTCTGTGATTCGAATGGGAGGAGTTTACTTAATCCCTGTTCCCCAGGAAGAAAAAAGAATCCTTTTTGTTCATATATAAGAAAGCCCAGAACCCAAAAAGTAAAAAGGATCCCTAACACTGATCTAGTTTATATATACGTTTTGAAAGGGGCGGCGATGCCCGGCAGCGGATTCTAAAGGCGCGCCGCGCGGACTTTTCATACCGCACTCGGACGATTTGACTGAATTCTGGATCCCACCGCGCACCCCTAAGCAGTCAGGGTGTCCTGAATAGCCCAGCCAATTTGACTTTACTCAGGAGGCCCCCACAAAACAGGGTGCAAACGTTACGGTTTCGGGGCTACTCTGCTGAAAGTCTGGGGCGGGGGTTCCGAATTCAGGGTACCCTGTTCGGGGTCATCTTTAGAAAGAGGATAGAAGCACGCGTATATCTGGGAAGAGCCCTGGATCTTTGGGATATGTCCCGAATAACAGGCCCGTATCTTGACAATCTCTAAGCCCTTAACCCTGAATCCCTCAACCCCTCTAGAGCCATCCACTATAGAGAAGCTAGGCTGGGCGAACCCTAAACCCTCAACCATCAACCCTCAGCCCTTCCATCGGGGGTCTGCTGCTTCGAAGTCGTTGGTGCCCCAGGCTTCGCAAAGGTCCTTCAGGCGGTTTCGGCTGGTTACCCGAAACCCGAACCTTTGCCGGAAACCCTCAACCTAAGCCTCCTAAGCTCAAACCCCATTGTCCATTGCCAGCACCCTAACCCCCAAACCACCGTACAAAAAAAAAACTAAGCCTAAACCCCTAGGGCCCTGGGGCAAGAGACTCAAGATATCCTTGACCTTCCACCCTGTACACCCCTAAACCCTAAACCCTAAACCCTAAATCCACTAAGTACCCTAAGTCTGCAGAACTTCGGATTCAGACAATCGGCTGACCCTAGATGGCCCTAGATCAACCCCAAACTGAAAAAGCCCCAGCACCAAAACCTCGAAACCCTAAGACCCCAAACACCCCTAAACTCCTAAACTCCTAAACTCCGAAACTCCGAAACTCCGAAACTCTTAAACTCCTAAACTCCTAAACTCCTAAACTCCTAAACTCCTAAACTCCTAAACTCCTAAACTCCTAAACTCCTAAACTCCTAAACTCCCAAACTCCCAACCTCCTAACCTCCTAAACTCCTAAACTCCTAAACTCCTAAAAACTCCCAAACTCCTAACCTCCCAAACTCCTAAACTCCTAACCCCTAAACCCCTACAGGGCACCAAAGTAAACTACAGGGCCCCAATTTAAACCCTGGCCCTCAACCCGCCGCGCCTCATACGCCACCCAGCGCCAGCTCGCGGGCGGAAGCTGCCGCAGGACCTGCGCTCAGCGCCGGGCTTGCCACGGCTGGTCTTGATTTCCCCCGCGGCTTTTAGTAGGGAATGGGGGAATTGGGTACCCTAATCCCTTAAAGGGTATATATATATATATAGGGGGGGATATCGGGTACCTTATTCCCTGCAATCCCTACTCAGAACCAGCCAAGGGATAGTTAGGATGTGCCGGGCTTCATCGGGTTGATAAGTATTTAGGGTTTGGGGTTTAGGGTTCAGGGTTTAGGGTTTAGGGTTTAGGGTTTAGGGTTTAGGGTTTGGCGACCACAACGGGACCGAAATTTGCTGTAGACCAACCGCCCTCTGCCAGGTGCCAAAGTTTAGGGTTTAGGGTTTAGGGTTTAGGGTTTAGGGTTTAGGGTTTAGGGTTTAGGGTTTAGGTTTGGGGTTTTAGGGTTTAGGGTTTTAGGGTTTTAGGGTTTAGGATCTGAGGCTTGGGGTGTAGTGTAGGGTGAACAAATTGGCCACAATTGGCCCATGGGTTGCTTCGGTCTGTGTTGAAGGCCTGTTGCCTTAAGAGGCTTCTTGCTTTTTGGGGTGGTGAAAGCTAAAGCTGCGCTCACCCAAATCCTAAACCCCTAGACCCTGGACCCTGGACCCTAGACCCTAGACCCTAGACCCTAGACCCGAGACCCTAGACCCTAGACCCGAGACCCTAAACCCTAAACCCTAAACCCTAAACCCAGGCGGGCTTTGGTCTTCTACGAAGCCTCTGGCGCCGCATCCTTTTCAAAATCCAGCGCGCAGAGCTGCTTGCTGCCTAAGAGGGATGTAATATGAGGGTTTACGAAAACCCTAAACCCTAAACCCTAAACCCTAAACCCTAAACCCTAAACCCTAAACCCTAAACCCTAAACCCTAAACCCTAATTAGGGGTGCCTTATTGGGGTCGCTACTCATATAAGGGAAACTAGCGTCCCTTATATGGGGGGTCGGAATAATTACGAAGGTTACGCCCTTATGGTCCCTATATGGTGCTGTACGATACTTCGGGTACCTTATTTTATTGCGGTCCTTATTATAAGGGAATCCTACTATTGGGGGTGTCTATTACACAAGGGGTCCCATATTTTCGTAAACCCCCGTATAGGGGTCGGAACAATTACGAAGGTTATTCCCTTATGGTCCCTATATATAACCATACTAAATAACTCCCACATCCCTATTCTCACTATTGAGGGCCCCTATTCGCCATCCCTATAAACGCTAAACTGCCGCAAGCTGCGATTCCCCAGCTCTGGGTAAGGAATCTTGCGGGCTCCCCCTGCCCCGAATTGTGCAAAGGCCCCGCGGCCACACCGCGAGACCTCGAGGTTCATAATGAAGAAAGCCTGCCGAAGCCCTCTACAAGCCTCATCAACCCTTCCGCCGTTATGAGCCCAGGGCTCTTTGATGGTTCAACTCCTGCCCTACACGCTAAGCCCTACAACGCCTAAACCCTAAACTCTAAACCCTAAACCCTAAACCCTAAACCCTAAACCCTAAAAACTAAACCCTAAACCCTAAACCCTAAACCCTAAACCCTACCACTTCTGGCTGTAGCGGCTTCCAGCGAGAGATCACGACCCATCTGAGAGCCGCGTCTACAGGCTCATGGACTAAGGACCTGGAAAAGGTCAGGTCCTGCCTCAAAGATGGCGTTCCAGGGTTTGGAAGTTTAGGGTTTTCGGCCTTAGGGCCAAGCTTAGGGTTTAGGGCCCAAGTTTAGGGTTTAGGGCTTAGGAGCGTTTAGGAGTTTAGAAGCTAATTATGGGGAGTTTAGGAGTTTAGGTTCCGGGAGTTTAGTGCTTGGGGTCTGGGATTTTTAACCTTAAACGCCTCACCGGGAGCCGACGATAAAGCCCAAACTCGCCGAGGGCTTTCACTGGGTTCAGCGCTGCTCCTCAGATACGGCGGAAGCCCTTGTTCCGGAAAGCATCCACTGCCGTGGAGCGCCCGCCGCCCCGGGGGAAGAACGAGGTTCCCGAACGCACCTTTTTTGGTGGCCGCGGCGTTTTATGTTTGTTCTTCTTTCCTTTGGAGGGTGTTCTCGGACTAAAAACTCCCCGGCCTCCTAAATGGCTAAGATGTTCGGACTAGCAGAGGGTTTAGGGAGTAGGGTGTAGGGTTCAGGGGAAGCAAAATAAATACCACACACCCGTAAGAACTGGACATAACCTCCGTGCACCTTGCTCGAGAAACCTACTGAACCTTGGCTGAAGCATCAAGCTTACATGGGTTGACAGGGTGTAGGATCTAGGGCCTAAGTTTAGCGTTTAGTAGTAGGGGACCCAAAAAAACCCTAAACCCCTAAACCCTAAACTCAGGCCAAAGGCACGGGCGCACACACCCGGGGCCGCTTGAGTCGCAGCCACGCTGCGTCGCAGTACTCGTTGCAGACATGGTGGGCGAAGAAGTTCCTTTTCTGCTTTCTCCCTTTCTTGCCGGTTTCTGGTACTCCAGAGGGCTTGGAACTAGACCCAAGAGTAACCTAGGAATAAAAATGTGTCCCTTTTTTGGCCTAAACGGGCGTACAAGGCCACCTAAGTCTTCAAATAAAGGGGAATAAGGGCCTACGCTGGGTCCTAGGAAGGTTGCCAAGAACAGGTTTCGGGTTCCAGGGTTTATAAGGTATGTGGAACGCCCAGTTGCCGCATCATGGGAAAGCCGCCATCGGTGACCCCAAAGTCCTTGTTCACGGACAGCACCGCCGGATCTGTGAGCACATAGTGCGTGTCGTAGCCTCCGCCCTGAAGGTCACAAAGCAGGTGCTGGCCGTTGGAGAAATGGAATGAGAAGTGCGACAGAGCCTGGCAGGAGTTTTTCCTCACCGGACAAGTGGGGTTGTTAGATTTTGAGGACAAAGCGGCGGCACAAGCCCATGTGACGCGACTTTCAGGACAGAAGACAATACAGCATTGAGGACCACAGGCACACGGCTTGGCGGGCAACTGTACCGGAACGTGGCCAGACGCAATAAGCAGGCCAGGGAAGCTCAAGCGGGCAGGGCAACTGTACCGGAATGTGGCCATACGCAATAAGCAGGCCAAGGGCGCGCGCACGCGCCACAGCCCGACGACGTTCCAAGCAGTAGGGCTAATAGCAACCCTCCCGTAGAGCTAGGCTTTTTCTGCCACCCGCATAGCTGGAAAGGTCGCGCCGCAAGGTGGCAGAGGTTTCATAAGATAGGATTTAAGGGCTTTAGGGTTTATTTGGAGTTGATTTAGGGTAACAAGCCCCAGCTTCCGAAAGGGACGTAGGTTTGCGGTTTCAGGCTTTTAGAGAGGGGCTTGGATTCAAGGGTCAGGATGGGGATGCTCGAAGTGGTAATTTTTGTTGCACCACTACCTTATACCCCGAGAATTGCTTTATACAATAAGACGTGCCCTATGGCCGAGGCCTGGCAACGACTGGCTGAATTACAGGCTGTCAGCTCGGACGCAGTAACGGGAGTGGTCTCCGAGGAGAATTTTCGCGTTCAGAGCGTGTATAAGGCCTATAAACCTTTAAACATGAAAACACATGCCCTGTAAGCCCTGTAAGTACCAAAGACGGATTTTATTGTTCAGGCAGCCCTCCGTCTTTGCACCCCTAAACCCTACACCCTAAACTTAAACCCTAAGGCCTGTTGGAGTACCTCGGGACATCTCCCTTGGCTTTTGCCTAAACACGGATCATGCGGTTGTAGGCTCCCCCAAGAAGGCCTTCTGGGGTGCTTGGGGTTTAGGGTTCAGGGCGTAAGGCTTAGGGCTTAGGGCTTAGGGTTTTAGGGTTTAGGGTTTAGGGTTTAGGGTTTAGGGTTTAGGGTTTAGGGTTTAGGGTTTAGGGTTTAGGGTTTAGGGTTTAGGGTTTAGGGTTTAGGGTTTAGGGTTTAGGGTTTAGGCTTAGGGCTTAGGGCTTAGGGATTAGGGCGTAGGGCCTTATTGAGGGCTTGCGGCGCTTGCGGGGGCACATCTCATGAAAGGCCTGCATCATGTTGTATCCCTCGTTCACCCAGCCACTGTTGGAGTTAAACTTGGCATAGGTGCCGTCGATCAGGGGCTCCACCAGGACCTTGCGCTCTCCGCATTCCCAGACCTCGCGGGCGCTTGTAGGGGTTCAGGATGTAGGGTTTGGGGTTTAGGGTTTAGGGCTTAGGGTTTATGGATTTCGGGGTTGTAAGGTTTAGGATTACGGATGTATCTCCCAAGAGTTCAAGCGAAAGCTGCCACCTCTGGCTGGTTCAGGTAGACCCGGCGACGAGCCGGCTGGCCTCGCTGGCGGCAGTGCTCGTTGTTGTACCTGGGGTTGCAAAAACCCTAAGCCCTACACCCTAAAACATTGAATCCTAAACCCTAAACCCTAAACCCTAACCTCTACACCCTACACCCCAAACCCTAAACCCTGAAATCACGAAGCCCCACATACCCTTTATGCCTCAATCCTGACCCTGAAAGGTTTAGCCGGCTCTTGTGGCCCACTCTTTACATACGATGAGCCGCAGGCCAAGGCTCTAGGGGCCCTGGATTCTGTATGTGTTACATATTGGGGATTTAGGGATGTTTAGGGTTTAGAGTTTTGGGTTTTGGGGTTTCGGTTTAGGGTTTAGGGTTTAGGGATTTAGGTTGGGATGTTCCGCCCCTTATACTAACAGTCCTTAATAGGGATTCATGATCGGGGATACTGTAATCCCATTAACCCAATAAGGACTGTTAGGAAGGGGCGAACTAATCCATAAATGTATATTCTATGGGCTGGAGGTCTAAGGGCTTAGGATGGAAAGCATAGGGTTGGGGGTATCGGTATAGGGCTTCATGAACATGTGCGTGGATCAACGCGATTGTCGTACTCCTTAGAGAACGACAAAAATATCTTACCAGCGAACTACCGGCATATTCAAGGAGACAACAAAGCGCCGAAATATGAAACACAAGGACAAGAAGCGACAAAAAGTGCTCATCAGTTGATTTTATGCGGGTTTTGCTCAGATGTCTGGAAGAAGCATGAAAAGATTGGAAATGCAAATTAACAAAGTGAACAGTAAGAAAGTGACTTAAGTAAATTGATGGGGCTTCCTGGCCCATGAGCCTTTCGATTCCTTCACCGGCTTCAATCTTAATCGTCAGCACCAGGATGTCGGGCCAGTCATAAACCCTAAACCCTAGTCGAGCCCTAGAGGGTTTAGGGTTTAGGGAAGGGTTTAGGGTTTAGGGTTTAGGGTTTAGGGTTGAGGGTTGAGGGTTGAGGGTTGAGGGTTGAGGGTTGAGGGTTGAGGGTTGAGGGTTGAGGGTTGAGGGTTGAGGGTTGAGGGTTTAGGGTTTAGGGTTTAGGGTTTAGGGTTTAGGGTTTAGGGTTTAGGCCCTTCAAAAAACGGAGATGAGGGGCACGATACTGGGAATCCGAGTGGCTCGTTGAATGCTTCGATGATTCGCCCAGCTTCTGCTACGGCCTGCAGGTCCTCGCGGATAAGGTTCTCGGCTGTAGGATCCTTGAAGACCTTTTTTAGGGTTTGGGGTTTAGGGTTGAGGGTTGAGGGTTTAAACTCCCCTGGAAGGTATTGGTATTTGGCTGATTCGCCCCCCTGGCCTTGTAGACACCCTTGAGATTCTTGCGCGGTCCCTTCGTGAACGTCATCACGAAGACATCCCGGAAGGTCCCGCTCTCAAGGTACCTAGTTCATGTTTGGGATAACATGAAATTGTATATAAAACTGTTCTTCCTCATTGGGTTTAAGTACCCTGAATGAAAAAGAAATCTTGGGTTTATGTACCCTTAAAACATGTAAAACATGCTACCCAACTGACACAAAGCTACTGTCCCGCGGAGACTTTGGGAACGCAGCGCGTCGCCCAGCCCCGGTCGTTCGTCTCGAAAACGTGCTGCAACCGCTCTCGGAGCTCGGCCTTCGTGCCGGTGACCTTCTTGGTGTAGCCCAGGAACTGTATCATAATGATAATAATAATAATAATCGTAATAATAATAGATATTAATATCATAATAATAATAATAATAATAATATCAATAATAATCAGGGTGCCGTTTTTGGGGGCTTGTTACTTATAAGGGAACCTTGAACCAAAAAAAGAGAGGAAGGGGAAAGGGTGCCACTGGGCTGCCGGTGGCCTTGCGTCGCATTCTTCGGAGCTCCTCCTTCATCTCCAGCGCCGTCATGTCGTCCACGCGCTTGCGCTTGACGGGGGTGTGGCGGGCTGCCGCCAGCTTGCCCCATCCGTTGCACGCGCTGCACTTCTCGGGAACGGGGAAGCTGAAGTTCATAAACTCGAAGTTCAGCATCTTGCCGGTGGTGCCTTTGCCCAGGCAGCTGGTGCAAACAACAGTAAAGCCAGCGCCGCCGCACTGACAGCACATCATCTTCAGCATCATGTTGTTCATTTGGGGCAGCGGCTGGAGAACCTGCCCACTGCCCTGGCAGTGTCGGCATTTCTGGGGGTCGTGTACCTCCGACATGTCGCTGGCGAGCTGGCGAGCTCCAACGCGTGCCCTTCTGAACTCTGCAAGGGGGGGTTTCCGAAATTAGGGGTGCCTTGTTGGGGGTCCTTCTCGGCGTCTTCTGGAAAAGAAGATCTATCACTGCGGTTAATCAGGGCATCATTCTATCAGTTCCTAACCCCATACCCGAAATCCCTGAAGGAAACACCGGAGGATAATGCTGGCAAGTAATGAGCTGCCAAAAAACAGAACAACGCCAAATACCTTTGCACCCTCGTGCTGGCTGCGGAGCGCTGAGGAGTTTAGGGTTTTCTTTGGGTTGCTTAGGGTTTCTTCGAGCCTTATTTAGGGTTGCCTTTCGGGGTTTTTACTAGTTTAAGGGTTTCTTTGTTTAGGGTTTCTAGTTTTAGAGTTTTTAGGGTTTTGAAGGTTTCTTGAGTCATTTTGGGAGGTTTGTTTGGTTTGTTAGGGTTTACAGGGCTACTAGGGTTTATAGAGGTTTTAGGGTGGTTTCGGGCTTTTAGGGTTTATATGGTATATAGGGTATATAGGTTTTTCTGGTTTATAGGGTTTAAAAGGTTTACAGTTGTTTTAGCCGTTTTCGCGTTTATCGTGTATATACGGTATATATATATACACACACCTATCTACCTATCTATCTCTATATATATACATATACACATATACATATATAGGGTTTCTAGGCTTTATAAGGCTTGCTATGCAGTAGGCACTGTGGGTCTCAGAGGTAGTTCGGAGGGTAGCTTCCCGCCCATGCCTTCCTTTCCAAACATCTCAAGTAAGAGAACTCATAGCTGGGTTGAGTTTTGGATGTAGGATTTAGGGTTTAGGGTCTAGGGTCTAGGGTCTAGGGTCTAGGGTTTAGGGTTTAGGGTTTAGGGTTTAGGGTTTCGGGTTTAGGGTTTAGGGTTTAAGGTTTAGGGTTTACCTATCCCTCCTTCTCTCTTTTCCTTCGGTACACGGCTGGGTGGGTTTCCAAAATTAGGGGTGCCGGGGTGCCTGGGGTCCATATTATAAGGGAGTCCACCTATTTGACGGTTCATACACCCTAAACCCCAAACCCTAAACCCCAAACCCTAAACCCTAAACCCTAAACCCTAAACCCTAAACCCTAAACCCTAAACCCTGGCTTCGTATTTCGTGCGAGATTGACTTCCGGGGCTCCCCTCGATTCGGGGTTTGGAAACTCAGGGGTTCGGGGCTTGGGGTGGTTTTTAGGAAGTTTAGGGTTGTGTTGGGGGGATTAGCTTTGAGGGCTTCGGGTTTGTGTGGTGTTTCGGTCGGGATGGAGAGTTTTAGAGCTTTCCTTTTAAGGTTTCTGTGTGGTTTTGGGGTTTTGGGCTGAGGGTTTAGGGGTTGGGGGCACAGACCTTTGGGGTTTAGGGAGGGCTTGGGCAATCAAGCCCGAGACTCCTGACCCTCAACCCTGAACCCTAAACCTCTTAACCGCAAACCCTAAACCTCTCGACCCGGCACCCCCCACCAATCGCCCTGGGGCCTTGGTCAAGTAGTCGTTGAAAAGCGCCAAGACCTGCACTGCATCGTGCAGGCCCGAAGCACGAAGCCAACCCCCACATGTTTTCTGAATTTCTGGGGTACGTTCTGTTACAACCAAACACCCCAAGCCGTTAAACCCAAACACAAAACCCCAAACCCTGAACCCCAAGTCCTAAAATCTATAAGTCCATAGACTGGACGCCTCTCACCCCCATATGGCTGTGGAGCTTCTTGCACTTCTTCGGGGTTCCGGGTCTAGGCTTTAAGGAGGTCTGTAGAGAGTTTGTGGGCTTTAGAGGGTTTAGGGTTTTAGAGGGTTTAGGGCTTAAGCCGCCACGTGCCTTGGCATGCTCCACTAAACCATCGTCCCACTCCTGACGCAGATCCGACGTGCGGGGTTTGGGGCCCATCGCACCCCTAGAACAAGAGTAGCAGCTCACCTGTCGCATAAACCCTGGATCCTCGACCCTAGATAAACCCTAAACCCTAAACCCTAAACCCTAAACCCTAAACCCTAAACCCTAAACCCTAAACCCTAAACCCTAAACCCTAAACCCTGACCCCTGTACCTTGAACCCTGAACCCTAAACCCCCCGTCTGAGTCGTTTGGAGTTTCTGGCTTTAGGGCTTTTTGATCTGGAAGCCAAGGTTCTCAAAACTTGCTTGCCGCCCCAGCAGGGGTTCCGGCAAAGAGCCCGTAGTGGGCTCAGGGAGTTTAAGACTTAGGGCTCAGGGTTCAGGGCTTGGGGTTTAGGGTTTAGGGTTTAGGGTTTAGGGTTTAGGGTTTAGGGTTTAGGGTTTAGGGTTTAGGGTTTAGGGTTTAGGGCGTAGGGTTTAGGGCTTAGGGTTTAGGGTTTAGGGTTTAGGGCTTAGGGCTTAGGGTTTAGGGCTTAGGGTTTAGGGTTTTTTAAATGTAAGATTTATGGGTTTAGAGGGAAGCTCGCTGGTGCAAAAAGCACCCGGGCCGCTCGCTTGCGCCAAACTATTCTCATTTAGGGTTTAGGGTTCACCCCCTGAGGGGGGCTTTCTTGCTTTTTACAGAGAAAGAGCAGGGTGGGGCCTCTCGAGCTTTGTGGAGCCTGTCAGTGGCTCGTAGGCTTCTTGGAGCTTTCACGGAGTAAAATGGAGGGGTGCCCAAAACCATCGATTGCAAGACTAAAAACCCAACATTTTCATTACGGGTCTGGGCAAGCCCCGGCCCACGCAGCCCCAGGGCCGGCCCTGCTGGCAAAATCAAAACAGAGGGAGGGATTGCAGCGGTTTCAGGGAACTTTTAGGCTTGCCAGGGAAGGTGTCCCAGGCAGGGGCGCGAGGGGTGCCAGGTCCAGGTTTTGGGGTCCCAAATTTGTCCTAGAAGGGGTTTCCAGCTAGAATGGGGGGGGTCCCTGAAGTCTGCCAGCCCGGGCCCCAGACCCCATTGCGGGGTCCTCCCCGACCCCCTTAAACGCTGGGGTTTTGGGGTCCTACTTAAGTAGGACTGTTTTGGGGCAAGTTCCTGAAGCAACACCCCCTAGCCCATCTTGTACAGCACACTAAAAAGCTCATGGCGCTTACTGAGCCCAAAACCCTAAACCCTAACCCTAAACAGAGTGGGATCTCCCGCCGCCCACGGAGTCTGATCGTGGAAATCAGCCAAAGCGAAGGCAGCAGCAACCGCCCATCCCAACCTTTTGACTTCAGGCAGCCAACCCAATCCCAAACCTCTAACTTTTTGGCCCTCCCAGAAGCCCTCGAATGATGGACATCTAAGCCCAACAACCATTCGAAAAGACAAAAATAATAAAAACAGCATGGTGAAAGCGGCGAAACCGGGGGGGTGGGAGGGGGTGGGAGGGGGGGGAGCAGGGCACAAAAAACAAAAGGTTTTTGGGTTTGGTAGTGGGCCCAGCCTGACCTGCCTTGCGGCCCCTCTGGTCCCTGAACACGCTCCGTCAGGGCCGGCACCAGGGGGCTCCGGAAGGGGGGCCCAGGGACCTGTTTGGCCCAGCTCGGATCTGGCCCTGGCCCTGGTGTGGCCCTAGCCTGGCCCTGGCCCTGGCCCTGGCCCTGGCCCTGGCCCTGGCCCTGGCCCTGGCCCTAGCCCTGGCCCTGGCCCTGGCCCTGGGCCTGGCCCTGGCCCTGGCCCTGGCCCTGGCCCTGGCCCTGGCCTGGCCGAGGGCGAAGGCGAAAGCCAGCCAAACCTTCGCGTTTTTAACTTTTAGAAAGATTTGCTGGGCCTCCCTGAACTGGGAGGCCCTTTCAAGCAAGGGATCCAGATCCCCAACCAGGACGCAGCATCACCAAGGCGAAGGCGGCAGCCAGCCCCAGTTTTTGGCACTTTTAGAAAGACTCACAAGGCCCAACAAGGCCTTCCAGATGCAGCATCAGCTAAAGCGAAGGCAGCAGCAACCGCCCATCCCAACCCTTTGACTTCAGGTGCGAAGGCTGCCCCCAAACTTCTGACTTTTTGGCCCTCCCAGAAGCCCTCGAATGATGGACAGCTAAGCCCAACAGCCATTAGAAAAGACAAAATAACAAAAGATGCAGCATCAGCATGGCGAAAGCCCAAACCTCTGATTTCACGCCCTTCCAAGCAAGCTTTCCAAATCCCCGCCCAACACGCAGCACCGCCGAGGGCGAAGGCGGCAGCCAACCCCAACCCCAAACCTCTGACTTTTGGCTCTCCCAGCAGCCCTCGACTGATAGACATCTCCCTTGCAATGCCTAGGGGCTGCGAGGTTCAGGGTAGTTGATCTGCATCGATGCCGAGCTTCTAAACCCAACCAATAGACAAGAGAAAAACAACAAAAGCACGATCAGAGTTCAAAAGAACCCTAAACCCGTAGAGGTTAAGGCGCGGGTGGAGCGCCAGCGGGGGTGGGCTTATGCAAATCGGGGCGCGCGCCTGGGCGCTTTCAGCACCAGCGCGCCCACGCATTGAGACACCCTAAACCCTAAACCCTACACCCTAAAACCTCAACCCTAAACCCTAAACCCTAAACCCTCTACATCCATGCCCGTAGCTGCCTGGCCATCCCCACCCTCTGCAGGACAGCTGTGTCCTTGTGGCTCCAGGCCGCAGAAAGCAAGTTCCGGTGCAAGACGAGGACCTGGCAGAGGCAGAGACTATAGGGCTTAAGGGGTTTAGGGTTTAGGGGTTTGGGGGTTTAGGGCTTAGGGTTTCGGGTTTAGGGTTTAGTAGTTTGCGGCGTTGAGATAGAGTTGGGTGCGCCTTAGGTCTCGGGATTCGGTTTGGCCCCTGGCCGCAACTCTGGATCACGCGTTTCGACACTGCATGTGCAACGAACACACGTTGCTACGTAGCACGGCCACCTCGCACATAACCGGCCCAGTCGCGTTGGAAAGGGAATGTTGAGATCCTAAGCACGCAGAACCACCATTCGCTTTCTACTCATTTACAGCCGGATCCCCAACAACAACCAATCGAAAGCACAAAAACACTGATCTGAAATCAACCTCGGAACCGTAAAGACAAGGCAGCTTCCAATTCCACAAACGCAATAAGCGCACAGAACACCAACATCTCTCTGCAGTCCGCCTCACCCCCCTTTCCTTGTGCACTAGCTATAGGCTGGCTTGGGTCAGCTGCCAGCAGCAGTTCAACAACTTCCGCCTCCCCCTGGCCAGCAGCCACACTCAAAGCGGTTGCACCAGTAGGCCCACAAACGATGTTGCTGTCAGCCCGTCCCTCCAGCAGCAAGCGCACAACTTCCACGTGCCCCCACAGGGATGCTACGAGAAGAGGCGTGAGGATGGTGAACTCGGACTCTGTTCCGGGCATCGCTTGGCGGCCCTCTGCCTCCATCAGGAGCTCTGCAACATGCTGAAAGCCGGCCGATGAGGCCGCCACGAGTGCGGGAGCCAGGTGTGGATTGCGTGGATGTACGGTTAGGGACTCTTCCGCCGCGCCAGCACAGCTTGCTTCCAAAAGCCTGCGCACAACTTCCAGGTGTCCACCCTGACATGCGGCGACCAGAGGTCGCGGATCATGATCCAGGGTATGCGCGACCTCGCCCCGAAAACTTGGATCGGCGTTTGCCTCCAACAAGAGCCGCACCGTCTCCCGGTGGTCGTCTGGAGAGGGATGTCCAGGCTCCCGCCCGCCGATTGCCGCAATGAGGGGTGTTGCAGCATCCTGATCGACACATCCGACCGCCTCCGTGCAAGCTCGTGCCTCCAACAACACCCACACCGCGTCCACATGCCATCCGTAGGCTGCCAGAACCTTATTTGTTGTCCAATATCCTCAAGGAACTTAAAGGTTAACCTGAGGGACTATCCAGGGAATATACTATAGGACCCCCAAAAAGGTGAAAGGTTGCCTACTCTACTACTAAGGAACAAGTGCCGTGCCTTGGTATCGAATCGAGTGATAGGAGTTCTGCTCTGTCTCGGCACAGGCCTCCAGGGTTTAGGGTTTAGGGTTTAGGGTTTAGGGTTTAGGGTTTAGGGTTTAGGGTTTAGGGTTTAGGGTTTAGGGTTTAGGGCTTAGGGAAGGGGGATGTAGCCTCCAGCAGCAAGCGCACGATCTCCGTGTGGCCCTTGTCGGCTGCCACCCCGAGGGCTGCGACGGGTCTTCCTGCACCCTCGTCTTCCTTCCTTCTCCAAGAACCAGGACCAAAGGGGAAAAAGGGGTTTAGGGTTTGGGGTTTAGGGTTTAGGGTTTAGGGTTTCGGGTTTCGGGTTTCGGGTTTTAGGGTTTCGGGTTTAGGGTTTCGGGTTTAGGGTTTATAGGGTTTAGGGTTTAGGGTTTAGGGTTTAGGGTTTAGGGTTTAGGGTTTAGGGTTTAGGGTTTAGGGTTTAGGGTTTAGGGTTTAGGGTTTAGGGCTTACTTAGGGCTTAGGGTTTAGGGGAAAAAGGGTTAGACTTTAGCATTCCTACTTCATCAGGAAGCCCGAAACGCATAAAAGTTCAGCTGTTGGCGAAGTAAGCTTCTGTGTCACAGTCCAGTAAGTTCGGATCCTGTGGGCGCTGCAAGATCTCCTCCACAGCTGCCACGGAACCAAGGCCGGCCGCGGAGAGGAGTCCATGCACCTGCTCCTCGGAGGTTTCAGCAAAGGGTAGCCTCACTGTTGGCGAGTCGGGAATGAGAGAATGAGGTACCCTATATCCCCCTATAATATATATATATATACCCTTTAAGGGATTATGTAGGGTACCTCGTTCCCCCATTCCCTACTAACCAACAGTAAGTAGCAAGACCAAATGGAGGTCGGCTTCGAAGTCCAGCACGGTCTCATCCTCTAAGCTACGGCCTTCGTGCAAAATTCTTTGCCGGAAGCGCGGCAGTTCGCCTTGCCTTTGTAGATACCGCTTGAGGCTCCGCACGTCGCGTGCTTCGGAGGTGGAGACCAGCCGCTCGTCTCCTGAAGCGCTCCAGATGTGGAGCATCTTCGCGGCATCGGGCGCAGATGACATGATGGTGCAAGAATCCGCGCGACAAGACTCATGCCGGGTGCTTAGCAGTCTTCGACTTTGAAACCTACACACATCTAGCGACACCTGGACCATGGAACTTGCCAGCAGTTTACTGAGGGCTTTTCAGCGATACCCGTGCAAAGAATACGCTAAGCCGGATCAAGCCAATGCCTTCCATCAGCTAGCTGAGTGGTTTTGGGGCTTTTGAGGAGTCTGAACCTTTGGGACTTAGGGCTTTGGGATTTAAGTTCGGACTCCCAGACCGTGTCAGAATGTTTTTTAGTGCCAACATGCCAGAAAGAGGTCTATGCGAAGGTTGCAGGTGGAATAGTCTTGCAGATTCGAGAACAGATTAGAGATCATGGACAATGGACGCCCCCTTTTCCTTAGCTTTCTGGAAGTGACGCTGGCCCCAGGTGGTGTAGGGGTGGCTTAAGGTACCCTAAAGACGGCCGGGGGTTGGGGGTTCTCTGGGCTTCCTATATGGCCTCAAAATGCTTCCATGCCTTCAAAGCTGCGGACTTCTCTGACAGAGTCTTTTTTCACGTCGGAGAGCACCCAGCAACGTCTGCTGCCAGAAAACGGCCTTCAGTTCCACAAGCAGCTTTCGAGGTTTGCCTACTGGTTCTTGGGGTTACCTTATATCCTGGTCATCTATATATATATATATATATGCACCCATGAGCAAAGGGATTCTGTCAGGTATCTAATTTCCTCATCCCCTACAGAGAACCCGTAAGTTTCGGGGTTCAGGATTCAAGGCTCCCGGAAAGGTCCCTGATGTGAATGGAGGCAGAAGAGAGATTAACTTGGATTTCGGGTTGGGTTTAGGGTTTGGGGCTTATGTTTCGGGTCTAGGGGTTTAGGGTCTTTACCCAAAAGAAACTTAGAGACCACAGGCCCAAACCCTGGGAGCCCCCGAAGCCTAAACCCTAAACCCTAAACCCTAAACCCTAAACCCTAAACCCTAAGCCCTAAACCCTAAACCCAGCTCCTCTTGACAAGGTGCCGTGCTGTGGGTCTGCTGCAGGTGCTGCAGCCGCCTCGAGGGGTTTGGACCCTGAGATCGGTATGGGTCTCCATTATGGGGTATAGGGTATAGGGTTTGGGGTTCAGGGTCTAGGGTCTAGGGTTTAGGGCTTAGGGCTTAGGGCTTAGGGTTTAGGGTTTAGGGTTTAGGCTTTAGGCTTTAGGGTTTAGGGTTTAGGGTTTAGGGTTTAGGGCTTTCGATCTTTGTCTTTCCCCACCCCTTACGCTGTGGTGGTCGGATCGAAGCCGCAAGGCTACTTACTTTCAGCCCGGCAAAGCACGCACCAAGCAACCCTAAACCCTAAACCCTGAACCCTAAACCCTGAACCCTAAACCCTAAACCGGATTCCACCCGTCAGCACTTAACAACCCCACAACCGCGACGCTGACGGACGTTCTTGCTGGGGGGCATCTCCGCGCTGATCTTGACCATGGACTCCTCCCAAAAAAGCAGGCAGGGCTTTGGCTTGGGGTTGAAGGGCTTCTAGATCTTCCGAGAACCCTAAAACCTAAACCCTAACCCCCCTAAACCCTAAACCCTCAACCCGGGTAACAAGGCAACAGCACGGCTTTTGGGGTTTTGGGGCTGAATCCGAAAAGCCTAAGCCCAAAGCCCAAAGCCCCTAGCTGCCTGCAACAGAAGAGTAAAAAGCTCCGAGATGGAGGAGAAGGTCCGCACGGACGGCAGGGCCTGACAGGGTTTAGGGTTTAGGGTTTAGGGTTTAGGGTTTAGGGTTTAGGGGTTTAGGGTTTAGGGTGTTGAAGGCTCAGGAGGGTTTAGGGTTTGGGGTTGAAGGGATTGTGAGTCAGGGCTGTGTAGGGCTGATTTACATGGGGATGTAAACGAACATGTCGGCAAAATTCGGCGTAGCTTTTGCTTTACATGTTCAGGATACAATCCGTGAGAACAAGAAGCCAGGAACACCAAGGCAGCTCGAGGGCCTCCCCGAATCAGTTGTTCTTGTATTTAAAGGCCCTAAACCCTAAACCCTAAACCCTAAACCCGAAAGCCGAAAGCCTGGACTCTCGCTGTATGGAGCAGATGTGTTGTTCAACCTTTGGGTCAAAGTTGTGGTGACATGCTGGTCGAAGGATGCAGGGAAGCCTAGGGAGTGGCAGTCGGCGTGGGCCTAAACCCTAAAACCCAAAACCCTAAAACCCTAAACTCTGAGCCCTGAGCCCTGAGCCCTGAGCCCTAAACCCTGAGCCCTAAACCCTGAGCCCTAAACCCTAAACCCTAAACCCTAAACCCTAAACCCGAAACCCTAAACCCTAAACCCTAAACCCTAACCCCTAAACCCTAAACCAAACCCGAAAATGTTTTCATGAACCCTGGCAGCCCTGGCACTCCCCCGAAGACCGAGTCCGGCCTTGAAGTCTGTCATGTGCCACCAGTACACACCTCAGGAGCTCGCACGTTTGAGGGGCTTCGTGAGTTTAGGGCTTAGGAGTTTTAGGGTTTGAGGGGTTTCGAGGGCTTTGGGTTTGGGAGTTTTTTCCCAAACCCTAAACCCTAAACCCTAAACCCTAAACCCTTTAGGGGGGCTTCGTGGGCATGGGGTGTAGGAATATCAGAGGTCACGCTTCCTGCCGACCCTGCGGCCCTGAACACAAAGACTTGACAATTCCCCAAACACCCCTAAACCCTGAACCCCTCCTGAACCCTAAGCTTCAAACCCTAAACTCCCCTAAACCCTAAACTCTAAACCCCAAACCCTAAACCCAGGCACTCTACACCGCAAACCCTACACCCTGAAACCCGAATCCTCGGCTCCCGTCCTAAGGCGAGCGGCGGTTCTCCAAGTCCTCCCAGTCTCTGTACTCGTAGGGGTACAGGTGCTTCCTAGGCAAATACGGCTAGGGTTCAGTGTTCAGGGCTTAGGGTCGTACCCTAAACCCTAAACCCTAAACCCTAAACCCTAAACCCTAAACCCTAAACCCTTGTACTGAAAAGACTGCAGCGGAAGATTGTCAACCTCAGAAGGGGAACTAAGAAGGACATAGTGGGTCTGGAGTTGGAAGATAGGTGCCCGGATCATGACATTCCTACTCCGTACCTCGGGGGTTTAGGGTTTAGGGTTTAGGGTTTAGGGTGTAGGGTGTAGGGTTTAGGGTTTAGGGTTTAGGGTTTAGGGTTTAGGGTTTAGGGTTTAGGGTTTAGGGTTTAGGGTTTAGGGTTTAGGGTTTAGGGTTCCCAAATTATGGCCCCTCTTGGGCTTCCTGTGGTGATTCGGAGCCTTATCTAGGGTCCCCGGATAAGGAGGGTCCATAATTTCCCCCGCCATATGCCTCAAGCCGGATACACCCCTAACCCAAGACCAAAAACCCAAAGCCACAGACCCCCCCCCCCCAAAAAAAAAAAAAGAAAACGCGCGCACACGCACACAAACACACAAACACACAAACAAAAAAATAAGGAACGAGAACACACACACACACACACAAATACTAAACCCTGCCCCCCCCCCCCCCCCCCACACATCCTATGCCGAGAGTCGGGGGATTGAAAATGGTTGCGAGCCAATTCCTGCAACCAATGGATTCGAGCTTGGGGGGGGAAGGCGGGGGATCTTGAAACCCTAACCCCTAGGGTTTCGGGTTTCGGGTTAAGGGTTTAGGGCTTAGGGCTTAGGGCTTAGGGTTTATTTAGGGTTTAAGGTTGGGGCCTTATGGTTTAGCTTGCAAGGCCCGTTCTGCTGAAGACCCCGTGTGGGGCTTTGAGGTTGTATGGCAAGGCCGACTGCGGAGCTTCCCCTCTTCCCTAAACTCTAAGCCCTAAACCCTAAACCCTAAACCCTAAATCCTAAACCCTAAACCCTAAACCCTAAACCCTAAATCCTAAACCCTCTTGGAGGTGTATATTACAGTGTATATCTTAGGGGCGAGGGCTTGGGATGCTCCCCCTTATACTTGCAGTCCTTAACGTAAGGGGTTATGACAGGGGGCTCTGGACTGCGGCTCAAGATCGAAGATTGAGATGGGGAGATGGCTGCAAGAATCGGAGATGCTGGGTTTCGGGTTTCGGGTTTCGGGTTTAAGGTTTAGGGTTGGGTGGTGTGTATATTGGGGCCTTCACGGACACGGATTACCAAGATTGGGGTACAGTACCGAACTTTGGGGTCCTTAGAAAGGGGATTGTAGTACGTTTTGGGAAACAAGGGATCCCTATCTTGGGAAATGCCCACTTAAACTGATATATGCATATGTATATACACATACAATGATAGAGGGAGAAACGACAAGGGGATAATGTTGGTCATGATTTAGGAACCTGTATTGAGTTCATCTAGCCAAACCGCAGAGGGCCTGTCGTTGGTGCCCAGCACGGTGAAGGTGTACCTGGGCAGTTTTGAACCCCGCGGCCGCGCTGTGAGAGCACTGCTTCTTGGGCGCACAGGGTTTGCGGTTTAGGGTTCAGGGTTTTTGGTTTTTGGTTTAGGGTTTAGGGTTCAGGGTTTGGGGTTTAGGGTTTAGTGTTGAGGGTTGAGGGCTGAGGGTGAGCAAAGGCCACGCCACTGCATGCCAGGTGCATTGGGGTGTCTGGCACAAACGTCGGCAAAGCCATGTTGATCCAGTCGTAGAACGTCATCCTCGGCAAGCAGCGCGGCTCGGGAGTCTTCTAAGACCTGAACTCCCAGGACCATGACGACGTGAATCAAGCGCCGTCTAAAACTCGAAGCCAAAAGAAGAAGCAGAACAGTAGGTAAAATTGAAGTAAACAGAGACCCGGGTTTGAGGCTTTGTGTTTTGGCTTCAGGCCCGGAAGTGTTTGGGCTTCTGGAGCTGTCTCTCGCCAGGCAGCGTCTGCAGCCAGTCGTATGGAAAGTAAACTCCTCCCGCGCGATCATCAACAGCTCACACTCTCGGGTTAGGAGCATATGATCCGGATCATACTTTCTGTTATGGGTTGCTTGGAGTCCCCAGTGTAGCTGAAAGGGCACCTTTGATGAGTGGAGTTTGCGAAAGGGGGCTTTGGGTTCATGGGGCTTAGGAATCCTAAAGAAGTGCGAAAACCTAAACGCCGGTACAAGTAAGCCCTAAAGATGGTTGGGTCTTCAGGGGTTTAGGCGCCCAGACACACCCTCAAAGAGGGCGGTCCGGGGGATGAGTGCGAGACTTGGGGAGCAACCAAGGGCTTGGGAGTTTAGGGTTTGGGGTTTGGGGTTTGGGGTTTAGGGTTTAGGGTTTAGGGTTTAGGGTTTGGGGTTTGGGGTTTAGGGTTTGGGGTTTACCAAACCACGGCACATGACAAATCGGGAGGGGGGGGGGGGGTTCCAAATCGTGGACTTAGGGTTTAGGGTCTAGGAAACGTTTAAAACAGGATCCACCAAGACAAGGGAAGCTTGCATCGCAAAAACCGCTGACACATGACCCCCCACACCTGAGGTTGGCCCTTTTTTTTCCAGGGGACAACCCTGCCTAAACACGATCCTCTCTAAACCCACTAGGTCAGATTATCCAAATACTCCTAACCCTAAACCCTAAATCCTAAACCCTAGCTAGACGCAAGAGTAACCTAGGAACAAAAAGGGTACCCTTTTTGGTCTAAAGGGGCTTAAAAGGTACCCACACCCCCAAAGGAAAGGGAGTAAGGGCCTCCTCTGGGTCGGAGCTAACCCTAAATCCTAAGCCCCACACCCTACAAGTGTGTATCGGTCTACCCACTCTTCGCCCTCCCACCCCCCCCCCCCGGGTGAAGAAAGATCGCGGTCCGGCTCGGTGGGCAAGCCAATTGCTGAAGCTCTTGTCCTTGAGCTCTTGAACATGCCGAAACCTCAGGTTGAAGGCTGAGGGGTTAGGGGGGTTGAGGGGGTTGAGGGGGTTGAGGGGCTGAGGGGTCGAGCGGTTTTAGGGTTGCGGGTCTGGGGTTTTACAGCCATGTTGTGACCCATGTTGAGCATGGCACGCAAAATCAAGACGGTAGCTGTTTGAGTAGGACATATTGAACCCTAAACCCGGAACGCTTAACCCTAAACCCTAACAAAAAATATCTTTATAAATATCCCAAACTCTAAATATTCAATTTCCGTCAAGTGCCGAAGGTTCATTCCGTTGAGGTGGGAGATGGAGTTGAGAAGCAGTTGCCTGCATGCAAGGCGCACACTGTCGAGGGTGCAAGGTTTACCCTGGGTTTAGGGTTTAGGGTTTAGGGTTTAGGGTTTAAGGTTTAAGGTTTAGGGTTTAGGGTTCAGGGCTTACGGATTCCGAGCCGGAACTTTGAAACAAGCCAAGGGCCTCCTTGTTGAGCATTGACAACATAGGCTTTGCTGCTCAAGGGCGGGCTTCGGCGGTGGGGGCTTGGGGTTCTGGGTCTCAGCCCAAACTTAACCCTACGAACACAAGAAACAATCCGGACAAGACTTTTTGGGGTTTGGGTTTTAGGGTTTAGGTTTAGGGTTTAGGGTTTAGGGTTTAGGGTTTAGGGTTTAGGGTTTAGGGTTTAGGGTTTAGGGTTTAGGGTTTAGGGTTTAGGGTTTAGGGTTTAGGGTTTAGGGTTTAGGGTTTAGGGTTTAGGGTTTAGGGTTTAGGGTTTAGGGTTTAGGGTTTAGGGTTTAGGGTTTAGGGTTTAGGGTTTAGGGTTTAGGGTTTAGGAAACTCAAGAACCTGAAACAAGGAAGCCTTCGGATAGACTCCAGACCCTTGAGCTCACCAAGCCTGTTCCAGAAGAGCACGGGTCCTCAGCGGAGCATCTGAACCCTGAGTAGGGTCTCTCTAGATTGAGGTTTAGGGTTTGAGGTTTAGGGTTTAGGGTTTAGGGTTTAGGGTTTAGGGTTTAGGGTTTAGGGTTTAGGGTTGTGGGGTGTAGGGGTCCAGGTGTGCGGTTTCAGCATACCGGCTGTAGGGGGTGAGGGCCTGGGGATATACACTTCTGGCCATGCTGCGCCACCAGCATATCCCCCGTGATGCGCAGCCCTCAACCCCCGAGAACGCGCTAAATCCCAAGCCCTAAAGTTGAGGGTTTAGGGTTTAGGTTTAGGGTTTAGGGTTTAGGGGTTAGGGTTTAGGGTTTAGGGTTTAGGGTTTAGGGTTTAGGGTTTAGGGCTCAGGATTTAGGGTTTAGGGTCTAGGGTCCTATAGTCCCAACAATCTCAACCCTACAACGCCTAAAACACGTGCCAGGCATCGTCTGTTCAACAGCACTTCCGTGGAGTTGCCGCCGCTGTACGTGACCGGCCTTGACAATGCACCAATCTCTTGGGTTCACGGTTCAGGGTTCGGGGTTCAGGGTTCAGGGTTTAGGGTTTAGTGTTGAGGGTTCAGGGCTCAGAGTTTCGGGTTTAGGGTTCTGGGGGGGCCTCTTTAGCTAGAGAGCGTTCTGTAGGCAGTTTTCACTGTAGTTAAACAGGCGTTGTCAGGCGACAAAATTTCCACCCACCCTAATCCGCCTAAGCCACTAATCAACCCCTGAACAAAGAAATCCCGAAACCCCAAAACAAACCCGTAAACCCCCTTAACCCCTTGCCCTTCCCGGTTCCTAAGACCCGTAACCCCCTAAACCCCTCAAACCCCCTTAAACCCCCTCAACCCCCTAAACCCCTTAACCCCCTCAACCCCGTAAACGGCCCCTCAACCCTAAACAAACCCCTAAACTCCCTAAACCCCCTAAACCCCCCGAACCCTTTTACCAGCAAATCGACCGGCGTCCGATCCCAAAACCCTAAACCCTAAACACAAGCCCTGAACCCCACACCTTACATTTTGTGCGCGTTCCAGGCCACCCCTGGTTGGTTCAAGGTAGTTTCAGGGGTAGGGTGTCTGAATGCCGCATAGCCGCTGCGTGTACATGGAAAGTGGTCTGACAGCGGGCATCTGCAGAGAGGTGTGCCGCCAAATCCTCAGTACGAAGCCCCACTCCACTCCAAGCTACTCCGAACTTTGAATTTTGAGCAGGTCATCGTGTGGCACCATGCAATTTCAAGAATCTAAATCGAAAATGGATGCCCTTGTTCGTGATCCGACAAATGTGGCGGGGAGTGAGCAGTAGCCGGCTGAGGGTCAAGAGGGTAGGGCGTACGGTGTTTACCGGGCTTTCAGGGGTTACTGAAACTCATCATACGGTGGAACCTAAACCCCAACCATTCGGCTTCTGAAATCCACGAAGGTCTGAACATGAAACCCTGTCAGGATTCGGGGGTCACAGTTGAGGGTCGTTTTCTGAGAGCCCGAAGGCAAACTCAACTCCTCAACTGTCATCTGGCGCGCTACTGCTCTACTTAGCGGCTTTTTGCAGGGGCCCGCGACTCAAAAGCCCAAAAACCTAAAGCCCACGAACCCACAAAACGCACAGGTTCTGAGCCCTGATCTAAGGTCATGGACTCCGTTTACGCATCCGAAATTTAGGTTTAGGGTTTACGGTTTCGGGCTTCTGGTTTAGGGTTTAGGGAGATTTGGGACACCAAAACCGGCGTAAACCCCAAAGCCTTGCAACCATAAGCCCCTAAACCATGCAAGCCATAGAATTCTGAGCGAGGCTCTGCAGGGAGAGGTATGGCGCGACGGTGGCGAAGGAGTTGCGCGGGTTCTGCTGCAGGTGCCGGTGCTTTTGCAGGTGAAGCGCTCACGCGAAGTCGGGTTTAAGGTTTATAAGGTTTATAAGGTTTAGGGTTTAGGGCTAAGGGCTTAGGGCTTAGGGCTTAAGGTTTAGGATGTCAGACTCAGGGTTCAGGACTCAGGGGTCTGAATATCGGGGCTGATGCATTAGATCATTTTCCCTTTGGGGTACCCTGCATAAGGAGGAATCATTGAATAGAAAAGAGAGGGACCCGATAACGGTCTGCGGTTGAGGGTTTAGGGCCCCTAAACCCTAAACCCTAAACCCTAAACCCTAAACCCTAAACCCTAAGGTTATAAAGACCCGGGGTTTATGGCTAATAATTCAGGGCTCGATGCCACATGTCCACACTTGCGCCGGTTCCTCCGCCAGCTCATCCCGGAAGGCTTCGTAGAGCTTCGTCTGGTCCGGGTCCTCTGCGGGTTTAGGGTTTAGGGTTTAGGGTTTAGGGTTTAGGGTTTAGGGTTTAGGGTTTAGGGTTTAGGGTTTAGGGTTTCGGGTTTCGGGTTTCGGGTTTCGGGTTTCGGGTTTAGGGATCCTCTGCGAACTCTGCGAAGCCCTATGAGGGTTCAGGGTTTCGGGTTATTGTGGGCACCCTAAACCCTGTAGACCCTGATTCAACCCTAAACCCTAAACCCTAAACCCTAAATCCTAAATCCTAAACCCTAAACCCTAAACCCTTGGGGCAAAACCCTCAATCTTGAACCCGCCGCCGGGCCTGGCCGAGGCTCTGAAACACATGGACCTCCGTAGACCCCGCACCCTTCGTGGCTTTTACAGCCTACCCTAAACCCTAGACCCTAAACCCTAAACCCTAAACCCTAAACCCTAAACCCCTCGAACCCTAGAGCCCTTCCCTAAACCCCGCACCCTTCGTGGCCCTTTTACAGCCTACCCTAAACCCTAAACCCTAAACCCTAAACCCTAAACCCCTCGAACCCTAGAGCCCTGCAGGCAAGACCCTAAAAACCCCTGAGCAACCCCTAGGGCTTAGGGTTTAGGGTTTAGGGTTTAGGGTTTAGGGTTTAGGGTTTAGGTTTAGGGTTTGGGGGTTAGGGTTTCAAATCCCCAAAAACCCCCAAACCCCAAAACCCACTCCCGTCCTTGGGAACCAGGAAGGCGATGTGGACGCCGAAGTAACCTCACTGGGAAAAACACCAGGATGGAAAAAGGGGTTTAGGGTTTAGGGTTTAGGGTTTAGGGGGTTAAGGTTTGTTCGGGCTTGGGGGTTGATGTTTAGGCCGAGAAGAAGCAATCTACTGACCTGTCCTGGACTGAACTTGCTGCTTTCCAAGACAGCCGAACGCCCCACGCTCCATTTTTGAACGAGAACCCCCAAACCCTCACAAACCCAAAGCCCTGCTTAAGCAGTGCATCTTGAATCTTCATGAAACCCCCTAAGCCAGAAATCCGCTCTCATAAATGAGCCTTGTCGAATCGTGTTTGAGGCTAAGAGCTTGGTTGGAGTCTTAACATGATTCGCATTTTGGTTTCGGGCCCTTCGTTTGGGGGCTTTTGCAGCAGGCGTCCGCCTAAACTCTAAACCCTAAAGCCTAAACCCCAAACCCCAAACCCGAAACCCTAAAGGGGGTTTCAGATGGACAGTGCGCTTGCCAACGAGGCACCCACGATGGGCTTCCCTGCCCGGTGCATCCTGGGCGGTGTTCAAGAGCTTGGGTTGGCTTTGGGTTTAGGGTTTCGGGCTTCGGGTTTAAGGTTTAGGTTTAGGGGTAAACCCTAAACCTCACGGGAGGCCTAACTTCGGGGCGGAAGCCGTGGGACTACTTCGGACTTCCTGCTCGGCACGCCCCCTTGTTTTGCAGGGGCTAACCATGTCACCCCCACATCCTCAACCACACGTACAAACCTGGCTTCACCCACCCGGGATGGGCCCATTGTACCCCAAAATCCCTCAAAAAGGCCCTACGATCTGATAGTGGGGACTACAGGGCCTAAAGTCCTATCCGGCGCTTGCAGCCCAAGGCACGACACGCAAGCGATGGCGGGCTCGCTGCAGAAGGCGATGTTGGCGTCGCGAAAAGTCTCAGAGTGTTTTGGTTTGGGTTGAAGTTATTAAGCTCTGGGGCTACAGCCCCGTTTTCGAGATCTTGTTACACGCGAAGCCCCGAAACCCGAAGCTGCTAAGGGAAGCCTCGCGCCGATAGGGGCCTGCCGGTCGTGGAGTGCAAAAACACAGATTTCAGGATCTACAGATTCTGTTCAAGAAATTCGGGTCAAGGCAGTCCGGTGCATCTTTGAAGTGCAACAAATCCCCCAACCCCAACAGCCTTATCCTACTTGGCTCGCTGGGCCATGTTCGCAATTCCACCTATGTATATACAGCCAGCCCCAAAGTGTCCTTCCTAACGGCGTGAACGCTAACCAAGGGTGTGGGGAACCCATGTGACATGTTGGGTGGGGCACCTCTTGACTTCCGTCCCTCACGCCGATCCACCGATGCATGCCGCCCCCAACACTTGGTGACCATCTACAACCCAGAGAGCCCAATACTCCTTAATTAAGGAACATACCTTAAATTATAAAGGGATCCTTAATAGGATTTAAGGAATATTCCTTAATTAAGGGGTATTGGGCTCTTTGGGAACCGGAATCCGAGGCTCTGCCTTCACATGTCGCGGAACTTTCACGGGGGCGCGTGCTGTGTTGGCGACGAAGCCAGGAACTTGGTCTTTTTGCAGATGCTGATGGCAGGATGTGCTATTGGTTTGGCCAACGACCCTCCTACTGCCTCCCTGTCCAGGATATCACACAACCTGCGCACGGCCCGCTTCTTGCATAACGGCTCGGATATTGAGTAATGATAGGCTGCCGAGGTGAATGCTTGACAAGTCAGATTGCCCCTGCGCAGTGTATGCATCCTGCTTGGAAATAGAGTTGCGGGGCGCTTGCAAAAGTAGGTGGGAGTCAGTCATATCAGAACTGCGTTTTAATTGATGTCGTGCGCCTTCCCACAGTGCAGGGATCAGTGCGGAATCTTTGTGTAAAAGGGAAGCGCGGGGGTCACTAGTCCCTGGACCCATCCATGAAACCCTCAACACCTCCTGAAGTCAAAGCAACGTGGGCATCTAGACTCCAAAAGACTGAAGCTCTCAGACAAAACGACCTCGGCTGCTGGTCCAAGTCTGCAGCTCGGAACCTTCCCCCAAAAGCAAACCCTAAAGCCTAAGGCCTAAGGCCAGAGCCTAAATGATGACCTGCTCAAATAGGCTGTGCCCTTTAAACTTTTTAGCCCCTGAAATATATTCAAGACAAGACCCTAAACCCTAAACCCTCCTAAACCCAATGTGCAAAAGAGAAGGGGCCTCCTTACCCTAAACAAAAGGCCCTAGACCGAAGCCCTAAACCCCAAACCCTAGTCAAGCATCCCAAACTCATGCCTCGTCGCGAATTAGTAGGTCTTGGAGCTCCTGTTAGGGACGCTTCGGTGGGTTTAGGGCTTGGGGGTTAGGTGATCTAGGGGTCTTGGGGTTTAGGTTGAGTATAGGATTTTGATATCTAGGGGTCTGGGGCTTTTTCGGGTTTGGGTTTGGGGGGCTTAGTGATGCAGGATCTAGGGGTCCGGCGCCGGGCATTTTGAAGTATTGAGTTTGAGGGTCTGGGAAGGGGAGGGGGGTGCGGAGGGTAGGGTGGCGACCTCGGGGTTTAGGGGTCGATGGGGTTTGGGGGTTCGGGGGCTTGGTGGTCTGAATGAAGGCTATTGATGGGGTTTAAGGTCGAGGTGTTGGGTTTGGGGGGGTTGGAGGTTAAGGGTGCAGGCTTTGACCCTCAACAACCCCTAAGTGCGAATCCCAATATGACCAAAATACCCTAGCCCTGCCTCTTAAATGTTCTATCAGCACCCTAAACCCTAAACCCTCAACCCTATGCACCCTAAACCCTATGCACCCTAAACCCTAAACCCTAAACCCTAAACCCTAAACCCTAAACCCTAAACCCTAAACCCTAAACCCTAAACCCTAAACCCTAAACCCTAAACCCTAAACCCTAAACCCTAAACCCTAAACCCAAACCCTAAACCCAAACCCTAGACCCTCAACCCTCAACCCTAAACCTGCCCGAATGCTTTCGGCTCACCGCGCCTCCACGAAGTGCCAGGCTTCGGGTAGAGAATCCTTGTGCGCCTCTCCTTGGATTGGGGATTCAAGGTTTAGGGTTTAGGGTTTAGGGTTTAGGGTTTAGGGTTCAGGGTTTAGGGTTTAGGGTTGAGAGCGTGTTGGGTGCAGACTTGCGGGGCCCCTTGGGATTTGGGTTGCAAGGCCTCGTCAAGATGAATCCTTGAAAGTGGGTGTTTGGGTGTTTGTGGTCTTGAGGTTAAGCCCTAAAACCCTAAACCCTAAACCCTCAACCCTAAACTGGCGACAGCACCGCTGACCCTTTACGTGGGTGCTCGAGTCTCTCGGACGCCAGGAAAGCCCAGCTGGTACGAAGCCCAGAGGGCCCCAGACCCGCTGAGCGCTGTACCGAATCTTGTGGTTTCCCCCACGGTTTAGGGTTTAGGGTTTAGGGTTTAGGGTTTAGGGTTTAGGGTTTAGGGTTTAGGGTTTAGGGTTTAGGGTTTAGGGTTTAGGGTTTAGGGTTTAGGGTTTAGGGTTTAAGGTTAGGGTTTAGGGTTTAGGGTTTAGGGTTTAGGGTTTAGGGTTTAGGGTTTAGGGTTTAGGGTTTAGGGTTTAGGGTTTAGGGTTTAGGGTTTAGGGTTTAGGGTTTAGGGTTTAGGGTTTAGGGGCCTCGAGCTCTGTGAGGGGCTCTCTCAAGGGCGCCGGGTCAAGGCCTCTGCTACCCCCCTGGCCGTGTTTCACACTCGGCGGCCTCCCGGAAAGCCACTAAAAACCCTAAACCCTAAACCCTAAACCCTAAACCCTAAATGATTCAAGAAAGCCATCCTTGCTGGTAGGAATGGGGGGGGTAGAACCCTACACACAAGAAGAGAATAGTTCGGGTGGGGGGGGGGGGGGTGGGGGGTACTATCTACCCAAGCGCGCGAGAAGGAGTGCGCCCCGAAGTCGAAAGAAAAGGCGCGTACACTCAGACACCCTAAGCCCGGAACCTTAAACCCTCAACTTTGGATGTTCCCCCCTTATACTAGCAGTCTTTAAGAGAGATTATCATGGGGATACCACAATCCCTAATAAGGACTGTTAGTAGAAGGGGGAACATCCCAGCTGTTAGTTTTTAACCCTAAACCCGGAACCCGGAACCCTAAACCCTCAACCCTAAACCCTTAATTATTAGGTGTCCCTAGACCCTATCCTAGACCCTTAGACCCTGGACCCTATCCTAGACCCTGGACCCTAGCCCCGCACTGCAGTATCAACCCAGGCACTCATGCTGCGTGGCTCGGGGCCTCTCAAGTGGGGTCAGGGGCTTTAGGGTTCAGGGTTCAGGGTTCAAGGTTCAGCATTCAGGGTTTAGGGTTTAGGGTTTAGGCTTTAGGGTTTGGGGTTTGGGGTTTAGGGCTTGGGGTTTAAGGTTTAGGCTTTCAGGTTTAGGGTTTAGGGTTCAGAGTTCAGGGTTCAGGGTTTAGGGTTTAGGGTTCAGGGTTTAGGGTTTAGGGTTTAGACCCGTCCCCTCCGCGGCGGGCATTCAGGGTGTAGGGTGTCCGGATACTTGGGGCTTAGGGCTGTTTAGGGTTTGGGGTTTGGGGTTTGGGGTTTGGGGTTTGGGGTTTGGGGTTTGGGGTTTGGGATCTGGGGTTTCGGTTTTAGGGCTATTCAGGGGTCAGGACCCAGGGTTTAGTGAGGGCAGGGTGTAGGCTCAGGGGCAAAGTCCCACAAACCCTAGACCCTAAACCAACCCTGAACCCTAAACCTAAACCCTAACCCTAAACCCTAAACCCTAAACCCTAAACCCTAAACCCAAACGCCAAACCCTAAGCAAACCCTAAACCCTAAGCCTAAACTCCAAGTCCGCAACTTCTGAGACTCCTAAGCCCTATGCCCTTAACGAGTGCCTTGCGGAGCAAACGAAGCCCAAAAGGGTTTAGGGTTTAGGGGTTTATGGTTCATATACCTTGATCTATAGTAGTATAGGGTGTATGATCCCAATTTTCGGGTTAATCTGGTGCCCAAGGTGAATTGTTGCTTCTTCGGGGGTCCAGGGATTTATTTTTAGGGGTTTATGGGGCTTAGTCCCCATGCGCCCCGAGACCTGTGCCCCCCAAAACCCAACTAAACCCTGAACCCTCAACCCTAAAACCCAATAGCCCGAAACCCGATAACCCTAAACCCTAGAACCCGAAACCCTCTAACCCTGTTCCCCTAAATCCCTCGCTCACGTTGTCCGGTCGGCTGCGATCTTCGAAGATCCAGGGCGCGGCAGCGGCTGCCAATTGACGGCCGGCAAGCTTCAAACCGATGGGCTTTCGTTGTTTTTTTCGGGCGGGGAGGGGGAGTTTTTCGAGTGATATTTTATATATATATATATATATTTATTTATTTATTTATTTATTATTTATTTATTTATATAGGGTTAGGGTTTTATCGGGCCTTAGGGCTAGAGGGTTCAGGGATACTGGGTCACAGGGTTTCGGGTGCTTGAGGCTCCATAGGACTGAAGCGACGACGGACCCAAAAATGCGCATGAGGTTGGTCAAAAAGGCCCGTGCATTCGCACACATTGGCTGGTGACCTTGGGTTGGGGGGCCCCTCGTGGAAAAGTGCGGCCACTTCTCTGAGTGGACCAGCACCCGGGAACCCAACGACGGAGGATGTGTGGAGCAGCTGAGTGTTCTCGGGGTTCGAGTGTTCGGCAACCTCATGAAGCCGGCCCTGAAAATTAACCTACTCCATATAATGTAGGATGGCCCCAAAACCCGCGGAGAAAGATTCCGGAGTATGATCCTCTTAAACCCCATAAGGGAAAGTACGACATATCCCAAGGGCCTCTCTAGCAATCCCCAAACCCCAAACCCTCAGCCCTTCAACTTAGCTTTGGAGTAGACCCTGGAAAAAATATATACTTTTTAGGTATAAGTAGCTATAATAGGAACCCAGAACCAAAAAAAGCAGTAAAGTATAGTACTCCAAGACCCAGTCAACAAGCCCCCGAAGCTCGGTCAGCTAGATCTCAGCTGGCTGGAAGCCACCTGCTGCTTCTCAATGGGCCTCATGCCTTCAACCCCAACAAAAAGGGAAAAAGGGTTTAGAGTTTAGGGTTTAGGGTTTAGGGTTTAGGGTTTAGGGTTTAGGGGTTAGGGTTCAGGGTTTAGGCGTCCACACAGCCTAGAATGGAATGGGTCATGCAGCGTCTGCAATCTCAATTCGCCGGAAGTGCTCCGCATAGCACTTTTGGGCCTTCTAGCCGACCCTGAGTTACCACTACAGGGTTTAGGGTTTAGGGCTGGGGTTTGGGGTTGAGGGTTTAGGGTTTAGGGTTTCGGGTTTAGGGTTTAGGGCTCAGTTTTTGGATTGGTCATGGGCAGCTGTGGTGCTAGGAGGGCCTTCCTTAAACGCACTTTGCCATGCAAGTTGATCTTCAGCCAGCAACTCCTGTCATGCAGCGGTAAACCAAAGCCCTAAACTCTATTTCCCTAAATTAAACCCTAAACCCTAAACCCTAAACCCTACACCCCTCCACCACCCTAAAGCCCTAAGGCCCTATACCCACACAAAGCCCGCATAGTAAAGCTTAGTTTTCCCCCCCCCCTCCCCCTAAACCTTAAACCCTGAACCCCAAACCCTGGCCCTGCACCGTAAACCCTACACCCTACACCCTACACCCTAAACCCCAAACCCTAAACCCTAAACCCTGAACCCTAAACCCTAAACCCTAAACTCTAAACCCTAAACCCTAAACCCTAAACCCTAAACCCTAAACCCTACACACTAAACCCTAAACCCTACCCAGGAGGCGCGGCCAAAGTAAAGCCTTCCCAGGTCTGCGCAGCAAGCGCTCCACTTTATGGTTTTGGGATTTAGGGCTTCGGGTTCAGGGATTTGCGGGTTTAGGGTTGCGGGCTTGGGGTTTAGGGTTTAGGGTTTAGGGTTTAGGGTTTAGGGTTTAGGGTTTAGGGTTTAGGGTTTAGGGTTTAGGGTTTAGGGTTTAGGGTTTGTGGTTCAGGGTTGCGGGCTTAGGGCTTGGGGGTTAGGGCTTAGGGCTTAGGGCTTAGGGCTTAGGGCTTAGGGCTTAGGGCTTAGGGCTTAGGGCTTAGGGCTTAGGGTGTAGGGATCCAAAAAGCCCACGGCTGAACCTCTGTGAGGGTCCCGCAGCCGCAAGCTTGAGCTACCTCAAACCGCCGGGGTTCCCCAGACTGCCCTAAACCTATTGGAGGTGGAAGAGCCCTGAACCCTAAACCCTGAACCCTGAACCCTAAACCCTAAACCCTAAACCCTCAACCTAAACCCTAAACCTAAGCCCCCAAAACACCCTAGGAGAGGCCCGCTGGCCCCATGCTGCGCATCGCCTGGTCAAGCAGCGTCCCTGCCCTCTGCTCCAGCGATGGTCCAGGCTCGCCTTGGCCAGGGAGTTCAGGGTCTTGGGGTTTAGGGTTTAGGGTTTAGGGTTTAGGGTTTAGGGTTTAGGGTTTAGGGTTTAGGGTTTAGGGTTTAGGGTTTAGGGTTTAGGGTTTAGGGTTTAGGGTTTAGGGTTTAGGCTTCTAGCTTTTTGGGTCTTAGGATTTAGGGCTAAGGGTTTCGGGTATTCGGCTTGAGGGGGTTTGGGGCCCACCCACACTTCTGTAGAGGGCTCTACAAGGTTTGGGGGTGCTTTGGGCCATTTGGGCCTAGGGTTTCAGGTCGCGTTTTGCTTCTCCCTCAGCCCTAAACCCTAAACCCTACACCCTGAGCGGGCTGTGTAGGGTTCAGGGGTTTAGTGGGTAGGGTTTTGGGGTTTGGGGTTGGGAGTTTGCTGTTGGGGGTTTGGGGCTTGGTGTGTGGGGTTGCATGTTGGTTGTTGCAGAACCGGAGCTGCAGGAGCTATCGCTCACGAAGTCGTTGATGACAGGACACAGATTCACTGACGATCGCAACGGCCAACGGATCCGATGCAAAACCCCAACGAAGTTTAGGGTTTAAGGTTTAGGGGTTAGGGACACATAGAGGCAACTTTTTCAAGACGATAGACGATTAAACGGTGTAATGAAAACACAAGGCTGAGGACTTCAGATCTTGGGGCACACGGATCACCAGATGGGGGTTTCCGAAAATAGGGGACACCCAATATAGACCCCCAAATAGTAGGATTTAGAATAAGGACCCCAATAAGGCACTCCGAATATCGTAAACCCCCAGACACCAAAGGGACCCTAGGGGCTTCAGTACATAGGGACTACACAAGGTATATAGGGGTTATATATGGGTTAAGGGTTTAGGGTTTAGGGTTTAGGGTTTAGGGTTTAGGGTGTTATATTATAGAATTATAAGATTGAGGGTCCCTTCTAGGGAGCGACACGGAGTTTAGAGTTTTGGTCTCAGGGTGCCAGGCCTTTGCCTGCAAAACCTTACAAACTTAATAAACAGTGCCCTAGGCCCTAAACCCTAAACCCTAAACCCTAGACCCTAAACCCTAAACCCTAAAACCTAAACCCTAAACCCTGCAGTTCGCGTCACCGTTGGATGGCCAATCGGATGCCTTCTGTGGCAGTGCCGCCAGCCTGCCGCGTTTAGAGGCAGGGCCGGTGGACCTCCTAGGGTCCATACGCCTTATGGTGTTTGGGGGTTAGGGTTTAGGGTTTAGGGTTTAGGGTTTAGGGTTTAGGGTTTAGGGTTTAGGGTTTAGGGTTTAGGGTTTAGGGTTTAGGGTTTAGGGCTCAGGGCTTAGGAGGCTGAACTTAGATCAAGTTAGCATCATGGGGTTCTAGAATGCCTTTACGGTGCTTAGGGTTTAGGATTGAGGGTTGAGGGTTTAGGGCTTGGGGGGGGGTTGGACTTAGGTTCAGTTCTCAGGCCTTCTTGTGGCAACCTCATCTCAGTTCCTCAACAAGACCCACAAGTTTCTGGCGTTAAGGCTTCAGGTTTTCGGGCTCGTGCTTTCTTGGGTTCAGGAGGGCTCAGGGCTTGTAGGCTTGTAGGGTTTGGGACTCGTGAGGTTCAGCGTGTGCAGCGTTCTTAGGGTCCTCCCCTCTCAGGCCCTCAGGAGTACCGCGTTCTCAGGGTCCTCCCAGGCTCATGGTTTGAAGTTCCCTGCCTGAACCGTAAACCCTAAACCCTGAACCTAAACCCTAAACCCTGAACCCGAGGCCCTAAGCCCTGAGTTTTCATACCGATCATGGAGAACGTGAAACAACACAACACTCCCCGAACCCTAAACCAGAAACCCTAAACAACCCTAAACCCGATGAACCCTGTCCTGTAAACCCTAAACTGTAAAGGATCCTGGACAACACTCATAGCATCCAAGCGGCTGATC